ACATAAGACATTAATAATAAGGCATTTATATCAATATGGATATAAGCAAATTTCTTCAATTAATAAATACAAATGGCTTATAAATAAATGAAAAGTCTCTCAATCAGGCATTATTTTACTCACACCGTGGGGAAACATAATGAAGACCAAACATATGAAATGCTGTGTAGCATGTGAGGAAATGGGGACTTTGTAGGGAATATAAGTTGGGGAGGGGGAGGAATTTGAAAGGATCTATCAAAAATTGTAAATCCTGTTTCCTTTAGCCCAGCAATTCTACTTCTGTGTAGCTATTCCTTGAGAAATACTTACACATGTGCAGAAAGAACCACACACAAGGGTATTTCGTGTTTAAAATAGCGAAAATTGAAAAGACAGAAACCTTCATAGGGGAATGGATAAATAGATTATGGAGCATTATGAAGCAGATAAAAAGATGGAGTTCCATTTATATGGACCAACATGAAAGTTCTCTATGAAATGACTGAACGAAAAAGCAAGTTTTAGTTTAATACTCTGTGTGTGTGTGTGTGTGTGTGTGTGTGTGTGTGTACACCAATAAAGTGTGGCCTCCTTTATTTCAAAAACTCATAAAACAAGACTATAAAGTCTTGTTTGTATTCATGTATGTGAATTACAGAGAAAGAGGTCAAAAGAATGCAGCTCGACCACCTCTCGGTGTTGCCTCTGAGGAGTGTGATTGGGTGGAGCTGGCTGAGGAGGAACTTTCACTTGTACCCTGTTCTTTGATGTTTGAGACTGAATTTATGGAGAAGGCCCTCTTTGAGAGAGTTTATTCTGTATTATGCATACAATTAACATGAAATCATAAAGCAGAAATGCCTCCTGAGATGCTCTGGGGCCACCCCTTCTCCGAGTTCAGTCCCGATGTTTCTGGAGCTGTGTCTTTCACCACGTGTTCCGCTGCTTCCTGTAGGCAGTGTGTATCTTTACAAGCCAAACTGTCCTACCGTGAGGTGGACCTGCTATTTGTTCATAAATTTATTACTTTATATTCTTTGGATGGGAAGCAACCGTCATTCCCGGGCTTTGTAACTCATTTCGTTGCTTCTAAGTAATAACTGGAAAAGAGAGTTTAAAAGCAATCTCTGTTTTCAAAAACTGACCAATATTTGTTCTGAAATGTCAGGTTCCTTGGTAAAATAGCAAAAGGCTTAAAATGAAGGTTTCTTTTTTTTTATTATTATTATTATTAGAAAGTTAAAATTACTTATATTTTTAACTACACTCAAATAAGCCCAATAGAATGGATTAAGATTTCTGCCAAGTGTTCTTACTTAACATTTTTTTCTAGCTTTAGCAATAGCAATTGTTACTTTCACATTTAAAAAAAATCTTCGTAGCATAAGGCACGTTTGTGGAAAACGTAGTATCTTCATTTTATACTTTAGTACATTCAGGCTAAAGCAATATCAAATTAACCAGAATTAACGTTAGGGCTCAAGTGTTCTGACTTCCGGCCTAAGTTGTGGGTCCCCTCATGTTTGGCCATCTCTCACAGACTACACGCATTTTCTTAAATCTTCTGATACTGCTTTCTAAAACTGAAAGCTTTATTTCTGAGGGTTATAACACATCTTTTCATATACTGAGATTGGAATACAGCATAAGAAGCTGAGTAAAATTCTTTTTAGAAAAAGATGAAATTTAAAATAATGATAAATGCATCTATATTCTGGATTAAAATGAAGAAATTTCCCTCTTGTATTGAGGGTGACACTTGCAAAAATAAAATTCTTGTCTATCACACAATACATGCCCACTTGTATATTAAAGAAGGATTCTCCACACTATTTCATTTCAAAATGGACCCTCCAGTGTTGCATTTTTAATGAATTTTAATTATTAAGCCATAGTCTAAAAGAATTACCATGTATTGATTTTTCAGTGACTTAATTTGAGACTAAGGCATATATTATTCCTATAACAAATAAAAAACATTTTGCAGAAATATTTTTTGCTGTATGTATTAGATTTTAATGATCTTACATGCAAATACATCTTAAATCAAAGTCCTCAAAATGCTTTTAAAATGGAGTAAATACAGTTAAGTATAAAACAACAAAATTCATTTGTCTTCTATTAGCCTGTAAACTACAGCAAACAGCTGGGTAAGCAGAAGACTACTGTGAAATTGCAAGCAATTGCATACATGCTGGGTGCTTTACTCAGCACAGCTGACTTTAAAAGATAAGTCAGAGGGGGCGTGTTTCAGTTGATTTCATTATAATGTCTGGTGACCACCATCAGTCATACAGACCTTAGAAGAGAACCACTTTTTCTTCCTATGGGTTACCAATTAGATCTGCTTTTGTTATGAAACTTTCTCACTGCAAGTCTGTGGCTGAAATTTTATTATGTATCCCTGACTTTAAGTCCCCACAGAGAGGTCTGCACTGAACCCACCCTACAGAAGTCAAGTGTAGAGCCAAGGACAAGATGCGAGAGCCATAACCGCAAATTATCTGGTAAAAGAGAACCAAGGCCATCAGGAAAGGCGATCAAATGATAATATTTTACCTGTTGGATGCGCAAAAATGTAAACCTTCGTCCCTTTCTGCTTTAGATTGTGCCCCGGTGTACAGTAGCGTATATTGGGGGATAACATAATGGAAATTTTCGGGGTGATAAGTGTTGGAAATAATACTTTTAGTGTGCATTTTAACCACTTCCAGGCCATATAAAAGGAAGAGGCTTAGGTGGGCCACGGCCCCAGGCTGGCCAGCCACCCTTAGAGGAGAAAAGAGCAAATGATGTCATAACTTTCAGGTTTGGGGGAAATTTACTTTCGCTCTTTTTAAAAGCAAGAAAAAAGATAAAATGTGTTGCTGCTGCAGCGAGGCCAGGCGGCGACAACGCGGGCGGCTTGCTGCTCGGCGCCTTGAGGATCATCTAGGCTACGAGAATCTCTGGGCTTCCAGTGGCACCTAAACCACAGCTGTCGTTACTCTCATATTTGGGGTGACGGTCGGAAGGCAAGTATCACCAGTAAGAGACTCTGATAGGATTCTCTCTCCTTAGGCAAGTATCACCAGTAAGAGACTCTGATAGGATTCTCTCTCCTTGCACCGTGTCCCGGCTCGGGATTCTTCCAAGTTCCATCCCCTATGCTCCAGGCAGCTTCTAGCCCTGCTCTCGCCGTCTCTTCCACACCTCGGTCACCGTGGGTTGGGCACCTGGGCTCGCCTCGCGCCCGCCTTGCCTCCCTCCTCTCCAGCGCGGGCTCCGGAAGGTGACTGCGTGCCTGGCTTGGAGACTGCCAGGACCGCAGAAGTCCAATGACACTAGGAAAGAGACTCCTGGGGCGCAAGTGTCTCCTGTCATACGCCCTCAGGCGTTAGGGGCACAAACCGAGCTCTCACTTCCCTCCAGCTAATCGCGAGGAAAATAAAGGGCGCGTCGCATGCCCTGTCCCGCCTAGCCACGCGTGTTGACATTTCCGGCGCTCAGGCCAGCTAAGACACGGGATTTGCACCGCAGCCGCGCAGCTCCCAGAGCCCGAGTCGGGCGCTACTTGCGCCTTCTCCGGTTTCTCCCCTAAGTGCGAAGGAAATCGCTCCTTTTGCTCCGCGCCTTGGAGACCGGAGGATCTGGGAACCGGGCCTGGCCGGGGAGGACTCGGCGGGCCGGGGGCTGCCTAGCGGCGGCAGCTCCTCCGCGAGGGTTAACAGCCGTCCCCGCGGAGGCTTCCTCTCGCCGGCCCGGGAACGTGGATACCGCGCCCGCAGGATGTTCGCCGGCTGGGTCGGGCAGTCAGGAAACATGAGAAGGCCTCGATATTCCGGTTCCCGGGCCGCGCGCGCCCGTCTGGGTAAATAAAGCCGCGACGCCGGCGGTGGCGGCGGTGAGCGCACTGGAGCCCGCGCGGAGAACATGCAGCGGGGATGGGAGTGCGCCTAGCCTCGACGCGGGAGAGCCAGCTGCCCTGCCGC